AGGAACACCACCACCCCATCTACACTGTTTGGAGACCATCTCTACAGGAACACCACCACCCGTCTACACTGCTCTGAGGCCCAGTCTCTGCAGGAACACCACCACCCGTCTACAATGCTCTGAGGCCCAGTCTCTGCAGGAACACCACCACCACTGGGACGAAGGGCAGTGAGCAGCCTCCACCCCATCTATGCTGCCCTGCCTCATACACCCGCAGAGGAACGTTCCCGATGTGAGTGATGGAAACAGAGCCATGCTAGGAGAGAGCGGCCCAGGCTCGGATGGGGAGTTGTGGGAGACAGGCTCTCACCTGTAGTCTGGCGCAGCTGCTTGAGCGGGGGACAGGACTCACAGACAGGAAGTGGGAGACCCAGGTCGTAGTCACAGCTCAGCTGTAAGATACAGCACCCACCAGATCTCAGCGGAGAACCTCCGGCTCTCCCCCCAACGCTTCTCAGCACCCACATGGCTCAGGCTTCCTACCCGGGGGCCACACTGGAGAGCCCCGAGGGTGGCCAGCAGCAGCTCCTCCAGGTGAGCCTGCTTGGTGTCCCGCAGGGCTGCACAGAAGACCTCAAAGGCCAGGGGACCCCGCTTGGGTAGCAGGTTGAGGAGCTCCACGTTCTGGTTGAAACTGCCCACTCGGGTCTAAGTCACAGGGAGAAGGGGGCTGTCAATCCTTCATAGGGTGGCTCCCCTGCCCCGCCCTGCTCCCCTGCGGGGGGGGGGGGGGCGCGGTTGAAACGAAGGATCGCAAGTAAACGGGGGGGGGGGCACCTGGATCAGCTCGCGCATTTCCGGGGTGAGGATGTCCTGCTCCAATAGGTGTTCCAGCAGCTCAGTCAGCACCAGCTGCTTGGCCAACAGCACACGGTTCCTCTTCAGTGCTTCCTGGTGGTCAGGGTGCATGCCGCAGGCAGCCGGCAGCCTGCTGAGGGAGGAGGACAGAGGGTGCTGTGAGGCCCGGGGGCGGGAATCAATGGGCAGAAGAACAAAGAACAGGTCTCAGACTAGCCAGGGCTCTGGAGCACATGTGCTCAGCAGACAACACTGGCTGCCTGGGACCCACGTTGTTGCTAAGTGCAAGGTTTGAACCACCAACCTTGCGGTTAGCAGTTGCATGTTTGTCCTATAGCACCACACCAGGACAACCCATGGACAAGTCTTTATGGGAATCATTCAGCCAAGACCATCTTTTGAGACAAATGGCCTAATTAGGAGTGGGCACTATTGTGATGAACACACACACACACACACACACGAGATGAGAAGACATTACAGCGGGCCTAATGAAGAGAAGGAGTCCTGGTGTGGTGCTGCGGGTTAATGCGCTGGACTGCAAAGTCGATATGAATGGAAAGGTGGGTTCAAGCTCACCAGCCGCGCCTCGGAAACCCTATCCAGGGTCGCTAAGGGTCAGAGCTAACTCGATGACACTAACATCAATGAAGACAATCACTGTGGAACACTTGGCAGGATGCCTCCAGGTTGCAGCCAGTTTAACAGGAAATAAGAAAGACTGGCTGACATAGCCCTCACTAGCTGGCTCACACCAATGACAACTTTTTCTACCTTACCTATATAGCTTACTTACACCAATGAAAACACTCTGTTTCTGTTTCTTTAGCTGACATGCCTTTGATAAAAGTACCACCACAGCAAGGGTGGGAACCCTTTAGGAACTAGACAAGTAATAGCACAACAGGATAATCTCCGGAAGTGCACAGTCCACGTAACCTGAAACCACCTCAGGTGTCAGAGTGAGGGAGGACAGCGGGATAGCTTGGGGGTGTTGTGCTTTGGCTATGATCAGCAGGAGCCCCATTTCCAGTGTGTGTCCCCAGTCCCAGGCCTAAGCAGCAGCATCCCCTGAGCTGACTTGTCAGTTTCCGAGGCTTGGACAACAATGAGGGTCAGGTGGCTGGCTGGACACCGGAGCATGATTAGAGCATCCAACAAAAATGCATTCTATTTTCAAAGATGTGAAAATGGGGGATGTGGGAGAGGGAGTGGGGAGCTGATGCTCCTGAGAATCCATGCTCTAACTCTGGCTTAGGCATTTCAGGCAGGAGAAAGCTCAGTAACACACTTCTGGAGCTGGAAGGCACCCACGACCTTTGGGTGTGGGGCAGTGAGGCTTGAAATGCTATCCTTCCCTGTTCCACTGGAATGCTCCCACTGTGGGGTCGAAACCTGCTATAAATGCAGAACCCCATTCAAAATCCTCTGGGAACACACCAAAGCAGTGGGAGGACATCTATGCGGGTGTTAAGTGCCATTGAGTCAGTTCTGACTCACAGTGACGCTGTATAGGGTTTTCAAGGAACAGCTGGTGGGCTTGAACCACCAACCTTATGGTGAGCAGTCTATTGTTTATCTTACAGTGCCACACCAGGACTCCGATGATACCTATAAACTCCAGTAAAGACAGGCATTAATGGGCAGACCCCAAGTTCACGGTGCAGCGGGGTGCAGAGAACATGGCTGGGAGCGCCAGCTGTACTCGGGTTCCCCCACCAGAAACTTCTCACCCTGAAATTTTTTCCATGCCACCATTCCCTACAGACCCCTCCAGGCCTGCTGCCTCGGATTCCTGCCCAGGGCCTCTCACTGGCCCTTAAACACCAATTCTTCACCACACTTCATCCTGGGTCCACAGACCGAAAGAGCTCATCCCGGCTTACAACATCCTCCTTCCCACGCAGTTCAGCCCCTCTCCCCTCAGTTTCCCCCACAAAACTGAACTTTCAGTCTAACAGGCCTCTAAAGTACACTGGGCGGGGGTGGGGTGGGATGTGTATGTGTGTGTGTAGAGAAGGAGCGCACACACCTCAGATCAACCACAGGAAACCAAAGAGAACAGCATCTGCCAAAAACAAAGCTCAAAGGCAGAGGGGGCAGGAGATGACAAAGGTTACCAGGAAAACCAGGAAGTCAGAACAGTGTTGTTACAAGGGAGGGTAGCATCTCAAGTCAGGAACCACAATGTGTCCAAACTGCTGAATGGAAAAGCTAACTTGCTCTGTACTTTCACCCAAACCATAATATAAACGTCCAAACACAAAACAAACTGAAACAAGAAACCCTCATCCGTGCGGAAGCATCATATACGCTCCACCAACAACGTGCAGTGGAGACAAGGGGAGAGGCTGGGATGTGGAAGTCCCAGGGGATTCAGGTGCATCTGAAAGGAGGGAGTCTCGTTCTGTGAGCTTCGGCAGGCTGCTATTCCAACTCCTCAATCAATGTGGGTTTGGAACAGAATGTGTGCACGGAAAAGGGGACCGGGCTGACAGGGATGGAGCAGACATTTCTCAAGTCCTCAAAACCCAAAGCAGTGCCGATGTCTACGACCAGTCATTTGGTGTATGCAACGTGGGCTGAAAGACACAAGTCACTGTATGCAATGTGGGTCATGTTGTGTAAGTTACTCTGTGTATTAACATGGGTCACGCTGTACAAGTCACTCTACACATAATGTCGGTTGTGCTGTACAAGTCACTGTGCATAACATGTGGCGCTATACAATCACTGTACTGTAATGCCGGTCATACTACACAAGTCACTTTGTGCATAATGCGGGTCATGCTATACAAGTAACTTTGTACATAACGCAGGTGGCTCTACACAAGTCACTCTTTGCATAATGCGGGTCGTGTTATACAAGTCACTCTGTGCATAGCAGGTTGTACTAACAAGTCACTGTACATAATGCGGGTCGTGCTATACAAGTCACTGTGCATAACGCGGATGGCGCTATACAAATCACTGTACATAAAAAATGCAGGTCGCATTATACAAATCACAGTACATAAAGAGACTAGCGCTATACAAGTTACTCTGTGCATAACGCGAATTCGCGCTGTACAAGTCACTCTGCGCATAATGTGGATTGCGCTACACAAGTTACTCTATGCCTAATGCGGGTCGACCCATCTTGCACAGGTGACTCTGTGCATAACGCGGGTTGGCGCTATACAAATCACTGTACATAATGTGGGTTGCATTATACAAATCACAGTACATAATGAGAGTCACGATATACAAACCACTCTATGCATAACGTGGGCTGCGCCACACAAATTACTCTGTGCATAATGCGGGTCGTCTTACACAAGTCACTGTGCATAACGCGGGTCGCGCTTTGTAAGTCACTGTACGTAACGCGGGTCGGGTTATACAAGTCACTCTGCATACCGCGGGTCGCACCATACAAATGCCACGCTCGCCTCGGCCCGGGGTCTCCGCAGGCCTGTATCGCAGATCACGGCTCCTTGCCGGGGTGCTGGTAAGGCAACCACTGCGAAGGACTGCAGAGGACCAACCTCCGGCCCGTGGGGAGCACCCCGCATCCTTGGGGTCCAGTGGACAGGGGCGGCTGGTCCGCGTGTCTGGGCCCTGCAGGGGATCCCGTGTCACTTCCATCCCCACTCACCTACGCCTCCGGTCAGCAGCCATCAGCTCTCTCGGCGGGAGGGCGGGCCGAGACACCGCGCTCGGCGCCGCCATTTCCCGCCTTTCCCGGGTTGGGTACGCTCCGCCTCCCGACGAACGAACAGGACGCCAGCGCGCCCGACGCCCCGCCCAGCGTCGACGCAGGCGCCCTGCCTCCCCAGCCCGCCCTACGTCACATCGCGCACGCAGCCGCCCCGCCCCGCCCCCCACGCGTTAGCTACGCCCGTACGCCAAGTTAGACCTGCCCCTTGCACGCTAGTCCCGCCCCTACGCATGGATAGGCTGTCGTTTACGTGCGTCCGCCCCTTCCTTACGTATGCTGTTCCATTCCTACAAGAGTCGGCCCTACCCTGTACTCGTGGTAGTCTCGCCCCAAAGCGAGCCGGCCCCGCCCCTACGTGTGCCTACTCTACTCTCTACGTAAAGTGCCTAATTGTGTGTGCTGTGTGTGAGCGTGCGCAGGCGCAGAGAGGCGTGCTGCTCGAGGCGCTGACTTAGCGCGTGCGCAATAAGCCGTCGAGCTCAGATTGCTGCGGAGTTGAAGGCTGGGTCTCGATGGACCTATCAGTACCGCACCCGTGCATTGCAATAACCGTGGGACGAAGGCTGACGCATACTTTACTTTATTAGATTGAACGACGGGCGAAGGGCCGAGAGCGCCGAGTGTGGGCGCCCACGGGACACAGAGCATCCTTGGGGTAACTGTGTGTGGGCCCAGCCCACCAGCGCCGCCAGCTCGGCCCTCGGCTGGCGCGGTCCACCTGCTCCGCGTGCACGGCCTACCTGCGCCGCGTGCACGACCCTGGCTCTCAGCCTGGGAGTGGATTTTATGCGAAAACAAGTCACTTGACTCATTTACCTGCAGGGCGCCTTTTGTGGGTTACCCACCCTCTGACTTCGGAGGCTGGGGGATCACAGACCTGATGGGGGTTCCAGCGCCTTGGTTCCCTCCCCACGTCATGCTCAGTCTATTTCTGGGGTGCTGGTCAGCCCCCCACACGTCCATGGAAACACCGCGGGCAGCCTGTCCTACAGGGTGCCCGGGGCAGGTGCACAGTCCTACAGGAAGCGCTGGGAACACTGGTCAGACCTGGTTAGCCGGCCTGGCTCCCGAGTCGGGAGATGGCACATCCTGGGAGAGTGGTTTAGGGGAGTGTCCAGTTGTCCTAATAGAAAACGCTGTCATCGTCCTGGTGACTGAGGCTGGCCTGGTAGGCAGGCGGAGGAGTAAGGGGCTCTAGCTTGGGGGCCACCCCCAAACACTGCAGGTCCAGCTCAGTTGACATGGCCCTCGATCCCCGAAGTCGGAGGCTGACTGGGGCTCTCCTGGGGTGTCCTCCCGTAAGGGGCCCCTCAGAGTCCCCTTGCTGCTCCAGGTCCACTCTCCTGAGCGCCTCGGGATCTCTTGGCTGGCCCTGCTCCGGTCCCAGTGGAATCACACTGCTGTAAGGGGGCGGGTCCTCCTGCTCCTGAGGACAACTCTGAGGCCCCAGCACCACAGCCACCTCATAGGTTGGTACCTCAAAGGCTTCATTGTCCCTAAGGGAGGAGAAATGAGGTCACCAGTGGCTTTCTGAAAAGAGCTCTTCTCCCCCTTCCTTTCTGCCTCCACTGCCCCTGACCCCTAGACGCAGGATTCCAGGGCGGAGGAGCGCAAGGCCTCCACTCACCGCGCAGTGCCCATGGGCCCTGGGCTCTCAGCATACACTGACCACAGCTCCCGCTCCAGCAAGCAGGCAATGAGGCAGGCAAATGCGAAGAAACCACCCAGCATGAGGAAGAAGTAAGCCAGAGGGGCAACATCCGACCGGACGCCCAGCAAGACCAGTCCCAGGAGGCTAGAGGTGCCGCACAGGAAGAAGAAGGCCTTCTTCAGGCGGCCCCACTGTTGGCTGGACACCATGGCCCTGGGTCCTGCAAAGACAGATGCACACAAGCCACGTGGCTACAGTTCCAGGGTCTCCACCATCCAAAATAAATTCGCTGTAGGGGCACCCGACAGCTCAGACACCCCCTTGTGGACGGAACTGTTTGTCCCACAGTCTCAGGTCTGGGGAACAGCCAGGAAAGTAAGCCAGAAGTTCTGGTCCCCAGCCCTCATGTTCTGCACCTTGTGGCCCGGCCTACCTCCCTTTGGTGGGTCTGCCTGCTCCACCACTCTCATCCCGGAACCCAGTCTGGGCGCCTGGGGCCTGGGTGAGGGCAGCAGGATTGTCTGGAATCCTGGGGATGAAACTGGGCCAGGACAGAGGCCCTGCGCTGGGTCACTCCCCATTCCTCCACTGTCAGCCCTGCTCCAGGGTACAGATAAAGTATACATGACCCAGAACCTTTAAGACCAGCAGACAGACGCCCCGATGAAACCTGCCATCCTCAGCACCCTTAGGCTGGCAGACGCCAGGCCCCCCACCTTCTGACGCTTCATGTCTGCAACCCCAGATTTCAACTAGGTGACAAGGAGTTAAAGAGCTAGTTCGAGCCCACCAAGAGCGGAAGAAAGACCTGGCAGTCTGTCCCTATACAGATGACAGTCTGGGAAAGCCTAGGGGCAGTTCCACTCTGCTTGAGTAGACAGAAATCGAAATTCACTGATGGCAGTGTCGGCCAGGGATACAAAGGGCGTGCTGCGGTTTTTCTTTTCCCTGAACACAGCAGACGGCCTAAGCCCTCAGAACCCACACAGCCCCTCAGAGTCCCCTACACTGGGGCGTGGATGGATGTGGCAAGCAGCCGCTCCTGACTCCCCCACCCAGCCCAACGATCACCTGCGCGGCCCCGGGGCTCCCTCACCTGTGAGCACAGGACTCAGAAAGCGCAGCAGCTGGGAGAGGGCGGGGCTCAACCCTGGCCCGCCCACCTGCCATCCCCAGGCCTTAATAGGCCCTCTCCCGAGGACCTCTTGGGCCTCACCTTAATTTTTCTAGGTTTTACTCATTCCAGTCCTCATTCTCCACCCAATACCCTTTCTGCTTTCCCACCATGTGATCTTTGTACCTGGGGCCAGAGTTGGAAGGATCCTTTCCTTCCCAACACACAAGGTATTCAATTACAGCCCAGGGCAACTCGAGAATATTCCAGGAATAAATCAGGGCTCCGATGGTCAGAGCCTGGACCAAGTCCTCTTTAATCTCTGCACTTGGTGCTTTGCACTTGGGAGCAGCCGTCTGTGGCAGGTGTACCGCCATCGTCCAGGCCCTTCCTGTGAACGGCCCACTGCAAATCTGCACACGTGTATGTGGATCTGGCTGTAAGATCCCAGCGTCTGAGGGGGAGAAACTTTACCAGCATCACCCAACACTACAGTCACAAGGAGGTGGTCAGGCAAGACTTGCTCCTGCCCTCCAACCTTCTTAGCAATTCTTGACACAGCCATCCCTTCCTGGACCACACTCTCTGCCTCTCTGCTGGGTTCAATAATATGTGGTGATGACCACGTAGAACTGACAGATACTGAGTTAATGAGAGAGTCGAGAGGTTCCGGATCAGGAAGGTTGTAGACAAAGTCTCCCTTCTGCAGTGCTTACCAGCTTTCTCTGCTCTGCCATGCAGGCCTCCTCTCAGGGTGGTCAGGACAGTTCCCCCTTGACCATCCGTTCTCAGCCTGAGGGCACTCCACTCAGCCAGCAGGCCGCCTGCTCTCTCCAGTCAGCTCTCTCCCTTTGTGGGTCCAGCAGGCCCTCTGTACCCACTTTGCACTGTGGTCCCAGATGCCCACTGCACCACCTCATGCCTGTTTTCTGGTTCTGGTGCTGCTCTTTCTCTGCCACTTTTACGAATGCTGTTCCCTGTCCTGTGCCATCTCTGGGGTTAAAACTCTCTGTCTCCTGGGTCTAGGAGGTTGGCTCTTCTTTCTTTGTGGTAGTGAGATCCCCCCTGTTTCTGGGATTGGCTACCTTTAGTTTTAAGCAGGAGCTCTAGTAGCATAGTGGTTATGAATCCAGCTGTTCCATGGACGAAAGATGAGGCTTTCTGCTACTGTAAAGATTTCCAGCCTTGAAAACGCTGTACAGGGTTACTATGAGTCGGAACCACTCCTCAGCAGACTCCACTGCCAATTTTAGCAGGATGACAAAATCGACCTATCTCCTTGTTCCAGTCCCATGCACCTTGTTTGCATTAACAGTAAGCTGTCCAATCCCCTTGGTGGGCCACAAACACTTTATTTGCATAGTCCCACCCAATCATTATGTGGCTAGAGGGCTCAGATGGCTGTTGGTCTTTCAAAATCTAGCTCCTCAGTGGCATGGAGGTGAAGGGGGTAGGGATTCTCCTCAGCATCTCCACAGGGTACCTTCCCACCTGTCTTAGTCTTCAGCTTACTGGAGAATTTTCTTCCCCGCTAGCCTGAGTGATTCACATCATTCACCTCAGGATCCCTAACGGGAACTCAGCTCAGTGACCAGAGCAGACATCTACACTGGCTGGTTCTTGGTTGTGGGCCAGAGCGAGTCTGCATGAGACAGATGCTGGGAGGTGGACATTTTGCCCCTGGACCAGAGGTCAAGCTGAGCAGAGATGTAGATAGAGGGGCACAGACCTGACCCAGGCTTTCCAGGGGCAGGCCCAAGGGTGTGTGTGCATGAGAGAGCCAGGGAGCCGTGTGAGGTGGCCAGGTTGATGGTGGGAGGGGAGGACACTTGGGCATGCCGTGAGGTCTCTGTGAAGCAGATTCTGAAGCGCAGCCCCTGTAACAGTGTAGCACCACCCCACACGGGCTTCTAGGCTGCCAGTTCTACAGGTACAGATTGCCAGGAGCTGGTGGTGGATTCGAACTTCTGACCTTAAGGTTAACAACCGAATGCTTAACTGCTGTGTCACCAGGCCTCCTTAGAAGAAGAGCATGTAGTCTAGATGAAGTGCTTCTCTCTAGGAAGTGGAAGGAGAGCTGGCTGTGGCCTTGTTTCCTCCAGTTCCTACCTCCCAGTCCCAGCAGGCAGGGCTGAGCACTAGGGAAGGGAAGGTGCCAGGGGTTCTTGGTTGTGTGGTGAGTAAGAGACCTTGTGAAGGACTCAGTTCTGGATGAGGCCGAAGGACTCCCATGTGAAGGTGCCCAGCCGGCTGGGAGAGGGGACCGGAGCCCCGTAAGGCTCTTGGTACTGGAGGGCAGTGTGATAAACATGGAGTGGTAGCCAGCATGCTTGGGGTTTGTGTGTGTGTGTGTGTGTGTGTGTGTGTGTGTGTGTGTGTGTGAGGGTACACAGGTGGCACCGATTCAAATATTTAAAATACTGAGAATGTACCAGGAACCCACTGCTACCCTCAAGGACCCAACAGACCGGCTCCACAGGGGTTCTGTAAATTTTCCGAGCAGACAGCTTCATCTTTGTCCAAGGAGCAGCAGGTGGGTTTGAACTGCTGATCTTGGGGCTAGCAACCCAAGGTGTAGCCATGTAGCAGGAGGTAGGTCCTATGATCACATTCTTGGACTGGTAAAAGAAGAGGCTCACAGAGGTTCGAGGCTCGAGGAGTGTCTTCCCCAAAAGGTGTGGGGCCAACACTCAACCATGACGTCTTTCCAACATAGCCACCCTCATCGGCTGCTCTCATAACAGAAACTTCAGAAAACACCTATGCGGTTTTGGCTTCCCTAGAGGTAGCGTAGTGGGTTATGAGTTGAGTTGCTAACCACGAGGCCAGCTGTTTGAATCTAACAGTTGCTTTGCAGGAAAAAGATGAGACTTTCTGCTCCTATAAACATGTACAGCTTTGGAAACCCTAGAGAGGGTCATTATGACTTGGAACCGACTCCACAGCACACTACCACCAACAGAGGATTGGTGAGCTTGTCTGTTCCCTATTGTCTGGTATCTTAAGATACGGCTGATCATCCAACAAAAACCAGCCAGTGTTGTTACTGTTGTTAAGGGGAATTGTCAAGAAAATCAGATCAAATGCTTAGCTGATATACACTGCTCTATAGAATGTGCTTGGTTTTGTGAGTCAGGAGGACAGTCTTGAGGGATCATCCTCCCAGTCCTCCACACTGCTGGCTTTCTGTTAATAAAGCTTAGATTAGCTCTCTATCCCTCTCTGTGGTTGACTTCAGTGACAGACAGCAAACCCTCGTTTCAGTTTGGCATCAGAATGGCACCACATTCATCGTCAAAAAGAACATTTCAAAATCTGTCTTGAAGTACAATGCTGTCTGTGGTAGGGAAGTAGCCATACACCTACAGGGAAGACCAAGGAGTCCTGGCAGCAGAGTAGATTAGGAGCTGCTAACCTCAAGGTCAGTTGTTCGAATCCACCAGTTGCTCTGTGGGAGAAAGATGAGGCTCTCTGCTCCCAGAAAGATTTACAGCCTCAGAAACCCTGTACAGGGATGCTATGAGTCAGAGCTGACTGAATGGCACACCACCACCACCACAAGGCAGACCAGTGAATACCACTATTATTCAAAGTTATACAGCAGCCTCTAAAGCCAGTGATGTTGATACTGAAGAGTTTGACCAACTTCTTCAGTCTGAAATTGATCAAACATGCAATTAAGATGCATTGATAGTTACTGATGATTGGAATGTGAAAGTTGGAAGCAAAGAAAAGTTTGTTAACTGGAGAATATGGCCTTGGTGATAGAAATGATGCTGGAGATCGCATGGTAATAATTTTTGCAAGACCAATGACTTATTCATTACAAATCTTTTTTTTCTTTGTCTTTTATGCTTTGTCATTGTGAACTGAGTGAGGTTTACAGAGCAGATCATCAGTTTTCATTCAACAAATCATATACTTCATTTCAATGATTGCGACCCCCTTCCTTTGTCATGGGTTAACACTGTCTACATCTGTTCACTTTAGCTCTTGCACCCCTCCCAGTGTCTTCTCCTGCCTTCATCTTTCTTCTGCCTACCTCCCTCTTGTATATTACCTTTCTCACCAGCAAGTTAACTAATATCTACTCGC